ACCCACCACAGCCCACCCCTTCCATCAGCCCATCTCAGCCCACTACCTCTGTTAGCCCACCTCGGCCCACCACCCCCATTGACCCTCCACCTCCTGCTACTCCTTTCCCTGACTCCCCATCATTTCCCATTGATCTTCCACCTGTTGGGCCTCAGCCCAATCCATTACCCTCTCAGCCCACCATTTCCCTCCCCTCTCTTTCCCAGCCCACCCCTGCCACAACATCTCCCCGGCCTCTCATCCAGTATCAACGCCGCCCTCGTCCTCTCCTTCCTTCCTCGCCACCGCTTCTTCAATACCACCGCCGAGCTTCTTCCTCTCATCCCACTTCATCTCAACCTCGACCGTCCTCTAGCCTCACCTCCCGACCACCCTTCAATACATCTCCTCGAATTATTCCTCCTCCCCAACCCTCTCCTCCACGTCGTATGGTCACTCGGACTCAGACAGGCAAATTAAAGCCTCGCCAATACCTCGCCGAAGCCTCCGCCGGCGTTCCTACCACTGCTGCTCAAGCACTAAAGTCACCTCTCTGGCGTGCTGCGATGACCACTGAGTTTGATGCTCTTGTTCGTAACCACACTTGGGACCTCGTTCCAGCTCCACCCAACTGTAATCTGATTACCAATCGATGGGTTTTTGCTGAGAAGACCCATTCCGACGGGTCGATTGAACGACAGAAGGCGCGACTGGTTGCTCGGGGTTTCCAGCAGATTCCTGGCCAGGATTTCGGCCAGACATTTAGCCCGGTGTTGAAACCGGCTACTCTTCGACTTCTCCTGGGCATCGCTGTTTCACACTCTTGGCCTCTTCATCAGATTGACATCTCCAATGCCTTCTTAAACGGAACTTTGCAGGAAGAAGTATATATGCAGCAGCCCGCCGGATTCATCGACCCTGAGCGCCCTGATTATGTTTGTCGTCTCCGAAAGTCGATTTATGGGCTACGGCAGGCTCCGAGAGCATGGTTCACATGCCTGTCCCAAGCTCTTCGTGATTTTGGATTTGTTCCCTCCAAAACAGATCCTTCTCTGTTTATTTATCGAGCTAACTCTGTGCTTCTGTATATGCTGGTGTATGTGGACGATATTCTCATTACAGGCACCGACTCTACTGTTATTCAGAAGCTCATGACTCACCTTCGGTCCAAGTTTGCACTGCGTGATCTGGGCCAGCTCTCATATTTTCTCGGTTTGGAGGTACATTATACCGACACTGGACTCCTTCTTAATCAGCGGAAGTACATCCTATCGCTGCTCCAGCGATCAGGAATGTCGCAAGCCAAGTCTATTGCCACTCCCTGCACGGCTGATCAGTTGATTCAGAGTGCCTCGGATCTGTCTCCTGCCTTTCATGATCCGGGATTGTACAGGAGCATTGTTGGTGGCTTGCAGTATCTAAGCTTCACACGTCCAGACATATCCTTTGCTGTTAATCAGGTCTCCCAATTTCTGCAACATCCAACTAATGCGCATTGGGTAGCAGTAAAGAGGATCCTTCGTTATCTTCAGGGATCGATCACTAAAGGGCTGCTCTTCCAGCGCTCCCTCCAGCCGCAGCTCCATGGTTATTCCGATGCCTCCTTTGCATCTTGTCCCCGGGATCGTAAGTCAATTTCTGGTTTCGCGGTCTTCTATGGTCAGAACTTGGTATCCTGGTCCACACGGAAACAAAAGGCTGTTGCTCGCTCGTCTACTGAGTGTGAGTATCGGGCGCTTGCCACTCTCGCCTCTGAAGTTATTTGGTTACAAGCACTTTTAACCGAGCTAGGACTGTCTCCATCTACGGCCCCAGTCCTTTGGTGTGATAATCTGGGGGCGACTTATCTAGCACACAATCCAGTGTTTCACTCACGCTCTAAACATCTCGAGATAGAGTTTCATTTTGTGCGTGACAGAGTCAACAAGCAGCAACTCCATGTACGATATCTACCTGCCACTGATCAATTGGCCGATGTGCTCACAAAACCGCTATCTCGTCAACCATTCCAGACTTTTTGCTCCAAGTTTCACCTCTCCGAGGTTCCACTTGCGGGGGCGTGATAGAGGAGAGTAACACTCGGAGAATTCTGTTTCCACTATGTATTTCTGTTGAGTCTGTTTCCTGAGTTTCAGCAGCCTCTGCGTAGGCTTTGCTATTCTTTTCTTCCACTGCTGTATAAAAACTCATTATCAATAAAGCTAAACTCAGACCTTCTGAGACATTTACAGTTTCAACTCCCGATGTATCACATATGCACAACATGATGGACTAGACCACAAGGCACTATCCATCTACTTATCTTGCCTCCTTGCAGAGGTGGTCATATTGTTTCTGAAACAGTTCTCACCTTCGATTTCCACTTTGGCAAGCTCTTCTGCTACTTACCGGCACAAAACGATGGTTGCTTTGGGTGTGCCAGTACCCGTGTCTCATTGGACAGCAAGGCCACAACTTCAGACATGGCAGGTCTATCTGTGGCCTGATCTTGAACGCACAACAGACCTGTCTGAATGCATCTCAGTACATTTTGTGTGTTGAAATCTGTTACTGTCCGGTCCAACAGTTGTAGTCCCTGCCTCCCTGGCCTTCATTCCACAGCTGCCACGCCTGATTCACACAAATCACATTATTGGTTGGTATATGTATGCTCAGTTTCATTCCATACTAGTCAAATTAGTTGTGTCCTTTTTTCTCAAGGGAACGGAAGGGAACTCACATATCCAGCGAGGGTGGACAGTTTTTCGTCAGGGTCATAGAAACCATTGTTTTTCTTGCCACTCACAATTTCCAGAAGCAAAATGCCAAAGCTGAACACATTGGTTTTAGTAGAGACAACACCATGCAGTGCGTACTCCGGAGACATGTAGCCACTGTCAAAAGAAACAAAGAAAGAGAACCATTAATTTAATTTTACGGTATGCATATATAGCATTATGGATCATACTGCTTAATTATAATGGTTGCATACTATGTTCGCACAATACACCCTGTGTTTGCTTCTGATTCTGAGACCCAATATCGTAGCCATCCCGAAATCTGATATCTTTGGGTTCATGTCATCATCAGGCAAGACATTGCTTGCCTGCAAGTCATTTCTGAACATTTCTTCCAGTCTAGCACTCTCTTTCTTTCGGCATCTGGCAAAAATGTTCAGAAAGAGCCTGACAATATGTACATAGATACATAAACAAAGTGTTCTGTAGAGACAAAAGAGGACCAAAAAACGCATACCAAAAAGAAAGGAGTCCAAACTTCCGTTTGGCATATATATACTCATAAAGTAAAATCTTCTCGTCTCTCCGCGTGCAGAATCCTCATAGCCTCATCAGATTAGTGTGCTGGAGTTGGCAATGAGACAGGCTTCATTTCTGAACTCCACAACCCCTTGCCCTGAACTTCTTGATAGTCGCTTTACTGCGACTTCTCGCCCAGTCACCAGCCTTCCCTGAAATAGTAGACAGTTGCTGGTTGTTAGAGCTTCATCACCACCGCTGAAAGTAACCCTTCCCCTTCTGTTTTATTTCTTTACCTTGTAAACAGGTGCGAAACCTCCTTCTCCAATCTTGTTTGCGGTTGCGAAATAATTAGTTGCAGCAGCAGCAATGATTTCAAAGTTGAAAGTCCGCAACTCATCCTCGTCGTCGTCATGCTGCTCATCTGCTGCCCCATTTGATGTATTCCTTTCACCTAATTAGTAGATTTTATTATACAGGATGGGAGGAGTGAACCTGGACGAAAGAAAAGAAGGATAAGAGCAGTGAGAAGGTGAAGACTTGTTGAGGAGGTTTCCAAATTCCAATACAATGAAACAGGTAAACTAGCTTCTCCGAGTTAGCAAAACCCTCAATGCTGCGCAACTAATTACCCAACCTGTCAGCCTCAATAAGACCGATCTTTTCATACGGAATGAACTCAATCAGCCCGTAATCCTGTTCACCAGTAACTTCGCTAAGAGTAAGCTGAGATTCTGCAGCATCTTGAAGACTTGACTGGTGGTCATCTTGAACCTATACATTCTGTATCCTCTGCCATGGCAAAATGCTCTGAATGCAGCAGATAAAAAAGGGCAAAGACGGAAAAGAATGAAGTCCAACCTTCTGTTTGGCATATACTCATAATCTGAAATCTGTTCGTCCACGATGGAGAACTCTTAAACAAGCTATAGGCCTAATTGGTAGATGTCAAACAACTGATTCAGAAAAGACCAACAAATGGATTGGAAACGCTTCCTTAAAAAGAGACCTTGCCTCTTCCAGGTGCTAAGATCTTAATCACCAGTAGTCGCCACAAGAGCAAATTCCATTCTCAAAGTGGTGGAACCGATTCATATCCCTCACGATGATATCTCGTTTCACAATCTTCGATATCAATTTCATGACAGCATGACAGTCAGCACAGATGCGAAGGTTTTTTATGATCCGGATAGGGCTGCTTCCCGATGGTGTTTTGATAAGACCAAAAGCTAAAGCCAGTCGTTCACTGTGCACCCACAAGTGGCGCTCTTTTTGATCATCTTCAATGTCCCGCAACACAGCATTACGGTCAGGACTGTAGCTTTCTTGCCTAGTTTTCATGTTCAGCCACTCCAGCATTCCATAGATCATTTTCTTGTCAGGATGTGAAGCGTCATCCACAGTGAAATAGTGAACAGTGCCCTGGTTCTCAATCCAGCTAAGACCTGGTTCTTTGTTGAGTCCTTTTGTTTTCATGCTTCTCCTAACAGTAGCGACATTTGCCCACCTCCTGGTTCTGGCATACATGTTGGATAACAACACATGGGTCGACTCATCTTGGGGATCAATCTCGAGGATGTGCTTTGCACAGAGTTTGCCTATCTCAACATCATTGTGGATGACACAAGCACCAAGTAAAGCACGCCATGCCATAAGAGAGGGCTCAAATGGCATTTCTTTTATCAGCTTCAGAGCTCGATCGAGATGACCTAACCTTCCTAATAGCCAGACCATACAAGAGTAGTGTTCCACGCATGGCTCAATACCATGGTCGTGTATCATAGATTTAAAATAAGCTTCTCCTTTGCTGAGCAGTCCACCGTTACTACATGCAGATAGCACCCCAACAAAGGTCATCTGATTTGGCCTAACATCAGTTTCTTGCATAATGTCAAAAACCTTCAGAGCTTCCCCCCGAGACCATGCATAGAGTACCCTGATATCATAGCATTCCAGGAGACCTCGTCATTTTGGTTAGACCATTAAATACCAGGCGTGCGTCTTTAATGCTGCCACACTTTGCATACATGTCTATCAAAGCATTACCAACTACGGTGTTCTTGTCATATGTAGTTTTCATTGTCAAACAATGAATCTGAGTTCCTGGGTCGAGAGCTGCTAGACTAGCACAAGCACAAAGAGCGCTGGAATATGTAACTTCTGTTGGCTGGACATTATGGCATTCAAGCGTATCCTTGAAGAATCTCAATGCTGAATCGAAATCACCCGCATGCACAAAACCAACAATCATAGTATTCCAGCTGACGTCGTTCGTGATTGATGATCCTAAAAATAGCGTAAGAGAGTTTTCTATCAGACTGCATTTGGCATAAACATCCATTAAAGCATTTGTGATAAAAATGTCTTCAAGAAAACCAAGCTTAAGCACGTGACAATGAACCTGTGTCCCTAGATCTACAGCCTCTATACTTGCACAAGCTTGCAGGACGCTGGCAAATGTGTACTGATTAGGTGTAACCATTCCTTGCCTCATCTGGACAAATAGCTCCACAGCCTCTTTGCCCATGTTGCTCTGAGCATGCCGAGCAATCATGAAACTCCAAGGAACCACATCATCTTTTGGCATCTCCTGAAAAATCCGTGAAGCATCACCAGAATCTCCAGATTTTACATAAAACTCGAGCAACCCCATCCCCACAAAAAGATTAGGCTCATAACCGGTTTTTAAAGCACACCCATGCAGACCCTTGGCCAAATCAAAAGCCTCTAGGCCAACACAGGCCTTGAGCACAGCAGCAAGCGTAAAATGATTAGGCCGGAATCCAATTCTCCTCATATCAGAGAACACTTGAAAAGACTCTAGGAAGCAACTATTCTCCGCATAGCAAGCCACCATCCCAGTCCACGAAACCATATCTTTGCAAAGAATCCCATCAAAAGCTCGCCTTGCACAGTCTACGAGCCCGGAAACAGAGTACGAATCAACCAAAGCAGTCCCAACAAAGGCGTTGGACTCATGACCAAGCTTACAAATGGAAGAATGAATGCTGGGAGTCAGCTCGGCCCACTCCATGGCCACGAGCAACTTACATGCCGAAGTGAAAACAAAAGGGTTGAGCTCCTGCCCCTCTCTGTGCAACCTCGAGAACAAGTCGAGAGCTTGGACGAAGTCTGAAGACTGGGCGTAGCCCTGGATCAAGGTAACAAAAGAAATGGTGTTTCTCTCAGGCATCTCGTCGAACACCTTACGGGCATCAGTCAAGGACTTACCATTCACGTAGAGGTTGAGCAGAACGTTGTGAGCAAACAAATCTAAGCAATTACCCGTCTTGAGAATCGCACAGTGGTGAGCTCGGCCGGTAAGGTGGTCGCCATTCTGGATGCAACGTTGAAGCATAGCTGCGTAAGCGTGAGACTGTGGTGGAGAAGGTTGGAGGGAGAATTGGGACAGCCCTCGCGAAGGGAACCATTTGAGATGGAGGAAGATAGGGTCACGATGGTTGAGCAATTTAGAAAAGGTTGAAACTGGAAGTAATCTGATCATGCGCGCCAACGAGAAGGAGAGAAATAGAGAGCGCGCGGGAGAATGTCACAACTCACAACTCAGTGAACTCACAACTTCCAGCTCGAAAGGAGGAGGGAAAAGCTGCGACAGAAGTATTCGTAGGCAAGTTAAGTAAATAACCGGTTTAATACATCTATATGTACTCAATACATATTTTATGGGTTTAAAACTTCCGTATTCATATTATTGTCAAACTGTTTCATTTTTTTCTGTTCATTTGATAGCTCCCGTACTAAACAGGATTAATCGCACCGGATATTACTTAACTCTTACAATTGTTGCACGTTAACCATTTAACGTAATTTCGTTGCAATTAAAGCTTGTAAGTCGTATTATGGGTGCACCATCACCACTTCCGTCATTAGACGTAACGACAGGTATTGAAGTGGTTATTTGCCATGCCACGCAGGCAGTTCATGTCAGCAAATCTGCTGAGTCATGTGCGGGTCTCATCAAACCCTGGTTCACCTACATTGAAAGAAATATTTGAGCAAGTGATTAGCGACTCCTCGTATTCCTGCTCTTTCTTCTCTGTAAAATTTTCGACGTCGAAGAGGAAAACCATTCCTCTCCAGAGAAACCGTGAGGAATAAAGGGAGGCGGTTCAGCATGAAGATTGTGAGATGAAAGTAAAACAATATCGTCACAGCTTCCTTTGCTTCTGGTAATTGAATCCGGCCCCTGCAACATCAGTTTTTCATTCGTCCTCCGATTCTAGAATTTTGTTTGCTTTTCATGATGTTGCTAGGGATTTGAAACAAGCGAGAAGAGAATCAGGGAGGTCGTAGCTCAACAAGAAAGTTGACACGGCAGGCGGATGCAACAATGGTGGTGGAGGTGAGTGATAACTTATAAGTGAAAGCAATGGAGCTGTTGCTAGGGATTTGAAACAAGCGAGAAGAGAATCAGGGAGGTCGTAGCTCAACAAGAAAGTTGACACGGCAGGCGGATGCAACAATGGTGGTGGAGGTGAGTGATAACTTATAAGTGAAAGCAATGGAGCTGTTGCTGGGAACCAGGGAAGCATTTGATTGGTGCTTCCAGGTCGGACTCTTCTTTATCTGCCTCTTTCGAAGTCTGGACGTTGCCGATTATTGTCACGGCAACGGCGATGGAGTGGTAAAGATCGACGATTGCTCGATTCGTTTCCTAGATGGTCTTTTTTTGCCCCTCTCTTATTGTGGAATGACTCGGCAAATTTGTTGACATGTACGCTTGTGTGGCATGTTAAATTACCACTTCGGTACGTGTCGTTATTATAGGTGTCAATCGGGCGGGTTCGGGCTGGATTTAGTCGGGTTGCGGGTTACTCGGGTTTCGGATTTATCGGGTTGCGGGTTCGTCGGGCTCGGGTTCAAACGGGTTGCGGGTTAGTCGGGTTGCGGGTTCATCGGGTTACTGGCAAATTGGGTTACGGGTTCATCGAGTTTCGGGTCAGGCGGATCGGGTTGCGGGTTGTTCAGGTCAGCGCATCTAGTAATTTTGTCCTTACTCATTACCAACTTACACATTTTATTACGCTTATTTAAAATATTTTTCTTAATTTTTAACCAATGTCTTTCTACCTCGTATATATACTTAATTTGAAAAAAAATAGCCAAAGTGTTGAATCAATTTGTATGACTTGCAAACTTATTATGTAATTAATCATGATTGGTAAAGTACACTAGCCAATAGTAATGGTGATATCAACATTTTCAACCAAAATAAACAAATAACTGTTTATTTGGTAATTTAGTATTATTTCAGTAGTAATTGGATGAAAGCATCTCGTTAAGTAGAACCATACAAATCTGGTATTTGGCAAAAGCATAGAGGTAAAATGAGTTATTTCAAAATAACTCATTGCCAAAATAACTTCAGTAAAATGTAGCCAAACGAGTTATTTGTAAACTTGTTCGAATTACCCTAAATATTGAACTATTAAAGATTAACTATCAAATTTAATAAAATTGTTGAGACTTCAATCATAACTTACTCAATAACATATATCCTATACACTTAACCTTACCTCAACCGAAAATATTAAGTTAATATATGTTGTTGATCGTATAGCCTAAACCAACAATAAATTATACACTAACCACAAACTCTACAACCTAACCATGTATCCTTATGAGTTGTGATTTTGCTACTATAGTTAATTTAAAGTGAAATTCAGACTTTGATTTTCAAAGCATAGATAAAAAGTGATTTTGCTATATCCTAACCATATATCTTATACTATACACCATATACCTTATACACTAACCACGAACCATAAACATAAATTAAAAAGGGATCTCCTGTCAATACCTTATATCCTAACCATATACACCCTTAACCATATGTATCGTATACTCTATACCCTAACCATATACTTTAACCATGAAAGGTTGGTTGATTTTTCATACATATAAATAAGGTGTTGGTCTCTCTCACACATAAAGGTATGCCTATTATCACATGCGTCTGCTGAGCCGGAAGAATCAAGAGATGAAGTTAAGTTTTATTTTTAAAACTACGACATCGACAAGAAAACTAAAACTCATTCTTCGCTTGAATATATAATAGTGGGTGGCCTTCCATCAACAACTAAATCCTGAAGAGGTCTGACTAATGGTCGACAAGAGTGGGCCACGAGGTTTGGACTTTATTAGATCCAATGATGGCTCAATTTTGTAGTCATTGTCGGGGTTTGGTTATTTTAAACTTGAGGTGCCTATCTCTAGTTCAATTAGTAAAAGTTTGTTTTGAATTCGAGCCATGGTACTGGTTAATTGTTATTATGATCCATGGTTTCAATTGTGTTGATCTTATATTAATTTAAGGATAAATGCCACATTTGGTCACTAAGTTAACTAAATGAATTAGTCACTAAAAAAAATTAATATCAATTTTGGTCACTCGAATTACTGAAACAGGTCACATTTAGTCACTCTCCCGTTAGTTTCCGCCCAAATTCATTAATGGAGTTGGACGGAAACTAATGGGAGAGTGACTAAATGTGACCGTTTTCTGTAATTCAAGTGACTAAATGTGACATGTTTCAGTAATTCCAGTGACTGGAGTTGGACGGAGGCTAACGAGAGAGTGACCAAATTTGACTTGTTTCAGTAATTTGAGTGACCAAAATTGAAATTAAATTTTTATAGTGACTAAACATGACACAATTTAGTAATCTCGGTGACCAAATGTGGCATTTACCCATTAATTTAGCATTGTCAGAAAGGATAGAATTCCATTGCTGTTGAATGATTTCGTGAATGTAGAGGGAAAGGAATAGAAGGAGACTAGAATATGTTAATAGATTGTTAATGAAGATTATTATGGTATTTGCTCTTTTATATTATCAAATATCATATGAAAAATTTAATTGCTTTTTTCCATCCAATCAAGATAATTTAATTCCCTATTCCTCCAAATAACACACAAATGCCACATGTACAAAAAGTGAGTTGTTTGACCTTACAAATACCACACTGAAAAATAACCTATCCAAATGACCCCTATATATTATATAATATAGTAATTATTCGGGTTAATCGGGCGGGTTCGGGTTAGTCGGGTTCGGGTCAATCGGGTTGCGGGTTAGTCGGGTTCTGGTCAATCGGGTTGCCGGTTAGTCGGGTTCGGGTTCAATCGGGTTGCGGTTCAATTGGGTTGCGGGTCAATTGGGTGATGGGTCGGGCGGGTTACGGGTCATTGACTTTTAGTCAACTCGGGTTGCGGTCGGGTTGCGGGTCGGGTTAAACGAGCGGGTTATTCGGGTCGGGTTCTGTTTTGACACATATAGTCGTTACGTTAAATGACGAAAGTGATCACGGTGCACACATAATATGACTTCAATGCTATAGTTGCAACTAAATTATATTAAGTGGTTAACGTGCAACAATTATAAGAGTTAAGTGGCACCCGGTGCAATTAACCCTACTAAACACGTATAAAACCCGTATAACACGTTTAATATTCGTATTTAATGAATTAAATTGTTAACTTTAATATTTTTTATATATTTATTTATTCTTAAAATAATTAATTTTATATATTTTATGACTGTTAACATACTATTAAACGTAAAATTAGCTTAAAGATGCAGTAAAATTATCGTACGTATTTTATACATAACTTTTCCGTACCGTATTTTACTAACTATGGTCGTAGGAGCAAAAGAAAATTTTGACCAAGTGAGACACTAAATAAGATTTGCTATGCTGCGTTTTCCCCCATTTAATGAGGATAACATTTTTTTTTACAAAATACACTTTCATAACCACAGTTACTCGCGCTGTGACAATAATAACCACTTTTTAAAAAATACACTGATATAATCACTTTTTTTAAACCTGTTTGACAACTGTAGCCATTTCCATTTCAAACTTTAACGTCGTCAATAATCTCTACGTGTCGCTAAGGTGGATGCCACCTAGACGACATGTCATTACCAACTAGACGTCTTCATGCCACTTAGATGTCACGTCATATTAAAAGTAATTTTTAATAAAAAATAATTAATTTTACTAAAAAAACAAAAATAAAAGATTTTAGAAAGAATTTTTTTTCTTTCTCACTCTACTATCTCCTCGCTTGCCCGCACACGACAACCATGACCTTCTCCTCTTAGCATCTCTCGCAACCACTAACCTTCGCCGCTCTCTTGTCTGATCACTCCCTCTGATGAAAGCTCTTGATTCCTTTTCCTCTCGCCCACCGAAGAAGTCATCACTTCCTCCCGCCTTCCTCTCACGATAATCGTCTTTCTCCACCGTTGTTGGAGTTCTTTGACAATCAATTTCAGTTGCCCCGATCGTCTTTCCCGACGGAAAACATCCTTCAATCAGTTGAATCGTTCGAATCCCTCCACTGCTTCTTCATCACTAAGAATTGTTCGAATATCTTGACGATTAGCTTCTCGATCTGGAAGTTGTATCACTCCATTTTCTCCGAAACACTAAGTCTTCCTAATGGCGACTATGGATGGTTCAGAAAGGTAGAGGAAG